AACAAGAACAAAGTTATGATATCGAGACTCCATGCAAGAATCATCAGTGAGAAAGATGCTACAGGGAAACATACATTTAAAATCTCAGATACAAGCCTAAATGGTACTTATATTAATGACATCAAGATTTCTGATTCATGTGATCTTAACCCTGGTGATACTGTGACATTTGGACATTTAAAAGGAGCAGTTTTGCCTCCTGGGGTCGTTGCTCAGCAGCCAGATTCTGAGTTTCGGTTTAAGGTAAGTAGCCTATTTGAGTACATTCATTTTAAGCTATGTGTACATTCACATGGCATCAGGTGAATTTTTGACCTGCTGAAATGACCAGACACTTTGTTCACACGGGAAAATTCAATATTTTTTGCTCTGTTCACACGGAACTTGGAAAACGAGAGTATTTACAATTCACTGCTTTTGGATATACAGTAGAAACAAGTGGGAACAGGATAGAAAACAGTTACTATTTCAATTCCTGTTTGATTGTGTGGAGTTTGGGACACTTATATGTAAAATAGTTAATTGAACTAACTGAGAAGCTGTCTCAAAACAAAAGTACAGTGTATATGTGTGAGCAAAAGGAATAAATTATACATGTACCTGTACTGACAAAATAGTTCTCATCTTGTTGCTGACCTGTCTGCAACATGGCGGCTTGTTCTACCTGAGATCGATACTGCTGCAATATTAGAACAGGACTTGTCACCAACAGAGGCTATCTCAGCCTTGACAACCGGCAGGTTTGTGAAGTTTTCTTCATTTGAACTTTGCTGATATGCTGGTGGTAAGAGACCTGTGATGGCTCTTATTGCTAGTGGCAGATGTTGCCATATTTTGAAACAGTATATAATTTTCACGCAACTGACTAGCAGTTATATTGCATGAGGGTCAGCATAAGAAGAAAATATTGATGCACTTCATTTGAGTGTCAATGTATTTCGCACTAAAGTGCTAATTGAGGACACCATTTCTACAATGTACTGTACTTCCCCTCCCATCCGCCATTTTACATGGACAACATCCAAGCAACTGAAAGGCCTACCTGTAGCTGTTTGCAGGGCAAAGGCATTAACTTTTACTGTATTTGTCAGTTATTTTAAGACCCCAAGTATTGCCAGTCCCGGAAATTGAACCTGCAATATCAGGCTCTGTAGTTATGTGCTCTACATGTACATGTACAACTATATAGCCTGTACCGCAGACAAAACTGAACTCTTGTTAAGTCTGTCTGCAAAACGGTTCCAAAATCCTCGTCCTGGGCCCCCAGCTGTGTACCGGGATTCGAGTATGCACCATGATTGGCCTGTTAAAAAAAACCATTGTTGATTTGCCAATCAGTATGAAAGAAAATTCGAAATGCATTTCTAGTACTTCATTGAGTCTGTTGGGGGCACAAAACAAGGATGTTGGCACTGCTTGTAGCTCTAGGTTACTAATCAAGGTTAAATTATGTCTGCAATGCAGGCTAAGTGCTTTAACAACTGAGCTACAGTAGTTGACTTGCAACTGTCTGAAAAAGAAAATGATTATTATTTCTAATCATGTATTCATACAGTTTGAGAAGTACCCATCAACTCCACCAAACAAGAATAAACAGAAAAGTCCTGGAAGCCAAGTGTGTTCTTCTCCAGAGTTTCAAAGAAAGGTGAATGACAGTTTAGTAATAATTTAAGTTGCAATAACCCAAAACTACGTGCCCAAGGTCCTGTCCCCAGCTTTTTCACAATACGAATGTTATTTTTTTGCGAGAGTCATGTTTAAACTAGTGGACACAGTTAATGTTAAAGGAGATCTTGGCGGATCAACAAAACAGCAGCAGCTGGATTATGAAACTTGCTACCAAACAAATAGAACAGTTATATGATCTGAAAACTTGATCTCTCTAGCTTGAAACTTCACCAATCTTAGATACATGTACAATAATTATTATCAAGACCTTTTATTACTGGTAATAATGGAAGGTTATTTGGAGTGTGGGCAACAACAATAAAAAGTCGAAACACTTTTGCGCAAATGCTACACTTTGTGTAAGTTTCATTTGGTACATGTGGATGGTCAAAACATGCATGATTAAATTACAAGTGATAGAAGGTCCAAATGCCTGTGATCAGATTCTTTATAAGTGAAACTCCAAATAAAGTTTGTCAGTACATACATGCAGTGCATGCATAATAGAAACCAGTTGTTCAAAAGGTGGATAACTCTATCCACTGGATAAACCACTATCCAGTACATATAGCACAATTGGTTTCCCCAATACTGATCCGTTGGATAGTGATTTATGGGGTGGATAGCGCTATCCAACTTCTGAACAAGTGGGGGCTGGAGATTAGGATTATGGGCTCCTCTTGTTGTCCGCAGTCAAGTATCATTTTTAAGATCATCAAGTACATGTAATATCCCTTCAGTCCTTTTCTGCCCATTACAGTTACTGAAAGGGAAAATGATCCTCATTTGAACAAGCCAAAATTTTAAAACAATGTGAGCATCTATTAAGGGAATGCAGTAACTATAAAAATGTTATAATTATGAAAGGTATAGCAAAGAGAAAAATTCGAAAATGTAATACATTTTTCCCCATCCATTTTGTATTTTTACAGACACCAAGTCCAAATTTGAATCCATGGTCACAAAACCTTGGTGCTAAGACTCCTTTGCTGCCAGTAGCTAATGCCCCAAATCTGTCGGCCTTCCTAACCCCAGAAACACCTGGGCAGCTACCTGAATCATCAGCAAAAGACTTTTGTAGGTATGTATTTCTACATGCACAAGTATGAGATGATGTCCTACAGAATGAGTCTGTGCTACGCACTTGTGCCGGGTTTACATACAGACTGACTAGCATAAGTGTGAGTGAAAAAAAATATTCAATTGTTGATCGAAAAATGGGCTCCCTTAAAGAGAAAGATACTAAATGTTGTGTAATACTGTACATGCGCATGAGTATATCATGCTGAAATAAAAACTGACTTCTGAAAGAAAGCAAACACAAGATCCCAATTCGAAATGGAAAATTACTATAAAATGTTACAGCTTTTTTTTGTCATTGAGTGGGTACCATTATAGAAGCAAAATTAATGTTAGTGTGCCTTCTACACTGTATGCCTAGACTAATACCAAATGGATTAATATTGTTAAAATCAGTTCTTACTTGACAAAAAGGTATAATAAAAAGAAGCCCCAAGTGACTTCTGATAAACTGCTTTATTATCTCTCTGTATGTATTTGGTTTGTTGTGACTGAAAAGCCTAGGTTGGGAGTTACAATAGACATGTGTATGTATGTTATAAAACATAAGCCATAGTGGGATTTGAATTACATCTATAGTCACTATATGGGGCCTTGTTTCATACACCTTTTCAGACAAGTACATTTTAAAATAAAGTTTGAAATCATGTTGTGACCACTTGGTAGTTATTCTTTCTCAGACTACCTGGTTCAGTATATGGTAGACAAAGTTGGAGGCAGCATTTTGTGAGTGACTCAGAACACAGTGACGATGATGACCTCATGGCATATGCAGCAACAGCAGGTAAAGCTATGGAGGATAGTGATGAAGACATATTTTCTCTTCAACTTCCTGAATCCCCTGCATTATCTGATGATGCAGCTACAACCTCAAACACCCTAGATCATCAAACACCTGTTAACATCACTACTGTTTCATCAAATAAGACCTCGACACATGTTAGTAAAGAATGCAGTTCCAAGAGACCCAAGACCAAAGAGGAACAAAACAGTCTGGTTAAAAAAGGTAAGAGAAAAGTCATCATTTTGTAGGATTATTATGTGGTAGTGTATTTTCCCATTTTTTTTTCTGTTTTTGTTTTTTTTTTTTGCATTTATTTGTGTTTTCCATAGAGAACTTCAAGTCTTATTTCAAATCTTGGACATTAGAAAGAATGCCATGCATGGCAAAACACATCTGCTCAATAGAGCTAGTAAATAGTTGACCTGGGTGATAGGGTAATGGCCCTACCCATGAGATTGCTTTTAAACCAGAGCTTAAACCCAGCACTAGGGTAACCCTCTCTCCTTGTAAACAGGCCTTAAGTCTGTGGACAAAATCCTGTGAACCATTCAAACAAAACCTCTTTGGCAGAACTTTCACATGCTACCTCCTCCAGCATTTTACTAATGCAATTAAAATTTAGAAATTTTGTTGAAGTTTGACTCTGGTCACCTTAGGCACCCTTCACCAAACTTTTCATTATGGTTTTTTAACAGCTAACAAAAGACCAAGAAAGTCCATCCTGACACACAGAAAATCTAAAAAGACGTCAAAGACTAGTGATTCTGGTGACGATCAGGACGAGGACGGTTTTATGTACAATACATGTGCCTCTGTGGACTGCATTCATCCCCATAACAAACACAAGCTGGTGGACTGGGTGCAGTGTGATGACTGTGATGATTGGTATCACGTCATGTGTACAGGACTCACTCTAAAGTCTGTGCAGAGAAAATCAGCTAAATTCCATTGTGGATGTGTATAAATTCAAAGATCTCCATTACATCAAATGTTACTTTTGTTGAATGACATGAACATGTTTTATACAATATGTAATAGCCCACGTCCAATATATTGATATTGATTTCTGACATGACTCCAAGGCTTTCTGGTCATTTTTTTTGCTATATTTGGCTTTGTTTTCTTGGTACTCAAGTCTCTTCAGGGAATTGCAAGACCATGGAGTTGTGAAAAAAACCTTGGAGTCATGTTAGAATTTTGATAACTGTTTAGAAAACGTGGGCTATGCCCCCATCTGCATTATGTCCAATAATTCAAACAAAAATTAATGTGTATATTCAACACGGCTGAAAAACAATGACAAAGGTTTCAAGGACATCATCTTTAAGTTGTGGAGCTGAGGCAGTGGTTTGGTTATTTTTATTATTATTATTTTTTTGTATTTTAGTCATTCCAAACTTATGCCTGGACTAACTGTTTTATACTTTTTTTAAGGGAATAAAAAAGATTTTAGCAGCTGTCATCTTTGATACAGATTATAAATAGTAGCATTGTGTTTATTGGTTATTGCTCTCTAATGGGCTTGCATCCCTTAAAGATCACAGCTAGATTTCTATCCAGAATTAAAGAGTAATATAATACAAGGAGTTTGATTTTACATTGCCAATAAATTAAGTTTTTAAGATACCAAATTTTAATAGCAATAATAATGCCTAACAAAAAAGCTATGCATTAGTTTTAAGAACAGACAGGTGCAAAGTTGAAATTCAGCTAAATTTTAATTTTAAAGTAAAGTAACCCAAATTTTTCTACATCCTTTACGAGTTGCTCTTTGAAGGTACGTAGTCTATAGTTGATATTGAAGCATTGTACTTATAACTTAGCTTAAACTAGTGGCTCAAAGTATGCCATTAGTTTCCTCAGCAAGTTAGCTGCCGACCCAGGGTACTTATGCAGACATGACATTGTCTCACAGCAGGCATTTTGTCTTAACTTTATTTAATATGCAGTTATGTACTAATTGATGTTCTTGTTCTCCTTCATAAAAAATCAAATAACAATAACTATGTTTTTTAGCTATTTCTGTTATTGCAATGGTTTCTACTTTAAACTTACTATAACATTGACTTTACTGTATTTTAAAACTATTGCAATAAAGGTTCTATGAATTATTGAAAAAGTGATGATCTGCAAATGAGTTATAATAGATAAGTGGCCCAGTGGTATTGTTCTATCTGAACCCATTCACTAAATGAATATCCTCAAGTTAAGGATCTCCTGGCCTGACATTTCCTGAATTGATTTCAGCCAAAACTTCATCTTTGAGTCCTTGGGGCAGCAAGTCACCTGGTGCCGTCTCCAGCAGTAATTGCTGCAGTTTCACTGTGTTAGGACCCACAATTAATTCCCTTTTATTTATGTTTGAGGCCTTCACTACAAATCCCTTGTACCCGAGTCGTGGTGGCATTCGGATAGGGTCATAGGCGAAGCCAGCAGTTCTGGCATTATCCAGAAGTTGCTTAATTTCTGCATATTCTGGATTCCTGGAAGAAATTGACCATTCTGGATCTCGGCGCCCAGAAAATATTGCCAATGTTACAAATAAAGCACCTGCAATTTAATCATCATCATCGTTAGTAATGCAGATACATGTACATGCATGTACATTTAAATTCAAAATTGCAATCATTATTTTGCAGATGTTACACTACAAATGGGGCAGTGGGGGACCACCTCAAGTGATCATCTTGGATATTGCCTCCTCCGGTGTACTCGATCAGAGTGATGACGAAAATTGCATGAGAAGAGTCAGCCTAGATTGAAAAGAAGCTTTAAAAACTGCTGTCCCAAGATTTTGAGAAGACTTGAAATTTAGGGACAAGGATAGTTTTGAGGGCATGTTACTACAGTCTTCCAGTCTGCAGTCGCACACGGCATTGCGCCTGTTGCAACTGTACCCCAAGATTAATTGCCAACGAGCAAGCCGAGCGAAAACGGTCGGCTTGCGAGGCGGCCAGCTTTATAATGCCACGCGAAGTATTGCAGCAGGCAGGAAAATTCTCGATCGTGCTGTGAAAAGTGTAATGTAAGGTGTAGATTCCCTGGGCATTTTAGTGGCGTTAGATTTCACAGGTAGTTTCGCGTGACTTTTGATGTCCTTTGTTGAAAACAAACGAACCTTCAAAGTTCGGACATTGTTCTCTGCCACACTACTGTACTTGTACGAACTACAACTCGCTATTTCATGTTCGCGCTAAACTATAAATGTTATTTCCCTTTCGCTGTTTGAAACTCGACAAGTTTAAGGTTCAAAAATGTCTCAGCAGAAGAATAAGAGCGATTTTAAGACCAAGATCATGGCAGAAATGTAGGAACGAGGAGTACTTGTGGTGGAAAATTATTCTCGCCTCAGCAGCTAAAATGATTTTATAAACATTGGGACTAAAACCAGTGATGTAGGCAAATTCTTTTTCTTTCGTTGGTACTTAGCGAAAGTTACAACGAGTTTTTTCCTTGCCGTTGGGCTGGTTCGATCATGGAGGAACGGAAAACGGAAACAGCGTTAAAAACATTAAGAAATGGAAAAAATACCTGCCCCTGCCGCCATGTTGAAGTCATCGTACCCAGGACCTATTACTTTTTACAATGGAGTAAGACTGGGGAGTAGGGAGTCGTTGTTGGCCCAGGGAGGTTCCTGGTTTATTTAACAACAAGAAGACGCCCGAAGGCGCTTACGCGGGATGTGTGGGTTTCAGAAAGAATTACGGGTATGTTGGATGGAAATGGAAGTTGAGTAGTGTATGCAACAAATGTGTGCAGGAGAGACGGAGATGTTCTGTTAAGGACTAATACACTAGAAGATGAGTTACACACAAGGGTTCCTTTGCTACTCAAAACAAAACTTACATCAATATTACCACCATATATGTTAGGAGTATGGGGTAGTTCACTAAAATTTGCATTCCTTTACTAATGTCCTCAAAAAATACACTTCCACATTTAACAATAGCGTGTAATGTATCATACTTCCAATAACTACAGGGCTGCAAGGAAGTGCTCTAGGGAAAATTTCAGAGAGCCCTTTAGGCTCCCCAAGCATTTTTAGCTTGGGTACCCGGGCCTCTAAGTTGGTCGCCCAAATTAATAAATCAATGAGCTGTTAGTTAATTATTAAACATTAAACAAATTATTTTCTTAACAAGTCAAGCAGAATTTTGTGAACATTTTTTTCATGAAAAATCACATCCCTTTGACCTCCTGAGCGTGCGAAAAAAAAAAAAAAAAACCCGCATGTTGTCATATGAAAGTAAGTTTTCGCGCCATATGAGAAACATGGACAACGCCGCCGAACATTTCATGTTTTTTAAATAGAAAAATAAATTTGGGGTCAAAAATAAGGGCACTATTCTTTTTACTAATCATTTTGATTTAGGTCAGGAGCTCCTGTTTAGGTTGAAAAGAAAATTTGCTTGTTAAGATTGACTGAGATCGCGTGGAGCTTTCCAGGAAAACTGTTATGATTTCAACGAAACCGCGGCGTCCCCCCCCCCCGGGGGGTTACTTGCGTTAATTTTTGCTGGGTATGTGCCGCTGGCCTCTCAGAACCCCTACCCCATTATAGTCTTTTCTGTGGCCAATATTGTAGACCCCATATTAGTCACTCTTGGGGAAATATGTAATTTTTGCGATCCCAAGTTAGTCACTTTCTATTTATGTATCTACCTTATCAATCCTTTAAATAGGTCATCAAGAAATGAATTGACCTATTTTTTTAATAAATTGAATGAAGAACACTTTACTTTTCACCTACAGTACAAATATCCTGATAGGTTTGCTAACCGTAAATATGAACAGCTCTCTTACCCCAAAAATCCGAAAGTGTACGACCCCATTCTAGTAACTCTTTTGAAAATGCAACCCCATTAATGTTCAATCTAGTCGTGAAAATGCGACCCCATCCAGCGGCACATCCCTATTAGCCTCTTTATAAGGAAGTGCCCCCCCCACCGGGGGCCGCCCCAAAACTATTATCTCTTTTGAATAGATCATCTTGTTGTAAAGTCGTCTTTTAAGCGCAAAACAGAAGTATTTTCTTTCTATATTATCGGTGAAATGTTCAGGACAAATGTAGATTCGGTTAGCTTTTGCGTATTTATTTTTAGTACGTGATACGTAATGCCTTGTCACGACACGAAAGACAATGCGGGATTTTATAGATTTATACCCCCTTTACACCCGATTCTAGAACAATCACAATTATAATAGTCGTCTCTTTTCTTTTTTATGCATTGTATTTTACTGGAATAACAATCTTAGTTATGTTTTATCCTCGCAGACACAGCAGTCAAAAAAGGTAAAAATATTTAAAGAACATAGAAGACCGACTCCCTTGTTTATTCAGCGATTTTTCAAAATACAAAACTATTGTTTTGCGTCGCCGACCGTACTTCACGCCTGTCAGAGCAAAAGTAACAACTTGTTTTGAAAAACTAACTAATGAACAATCCTAATTTGAAGAAAAAATTTCAATGTTACTATGAAAAGCTGTTACTATCGAAAACTGTGCAGCTTGTCACGTTCAATACGGTGGCCCACAAGTGCACACCGAATTCCAGAAAGTCACACCGAATTCAAATAACTCACACCGAATTCAAATAACTCACACCGAATTCAAATAACTCACACCGAATTCGAATAAACTCACACCGAATTCGAATAACTCACACCGAATTCGAATAAACTCACACCGAATTCAAGTAACGAGCGACGCCTGGGTACGAGCAGTCAAGTGACTGCAAGGTATCCTGGTAACAATCCCGGTATCCTCTTCTTCTTATTCTTCTTCCCTGGAGTTCTTCCCGCTCCCGCCATGTTCTGCTCGAGCTGTGGATGTGCGTTGGAAGAAGGGGACAATTTTTGCTCCAAGTGTGGTGCAGGTAAGTGTATACAAGCCTTTCATACCGTAATTTACAGACTTAAGCAGCTACACCCACAGGTAACCCAGGCTCTGTGATAGTACCACAGTACGGTTCCAGTAAAATTACAGTGTTTGTATGGGGTAAAAATATCATCCTAAAATTTCTAGGAAATACTAAATAAAGATCAATGAAACTTGCTCTGCAGTTAATTGTTGTTGTCCTTATTGCTCCAACGAAGTTTCGTGATAATTTGCAGTAATTTGTTCAAATTCACTCTATCTACAATAATAATATACAAGGTAGGAAACACGAGGTGCCATTTTCGCCGACATGCTCTCATTCAACACAACTTTTTCCACGAAATTCGAACTCCAACGGAAAATAAACATGCCAGGATCGTAGAAATAGGATAGCAGCAGATATAGAAACCAATGAAGCTTTCCCAGATAGAGAAACGAATCCCACAGACTTTGGCAAACTCGAAGAATATAATCCAAACACACCGAGAATACGCTCGCCGAAGCAGCCGGGCCAGATCAACGCGCGGCCAAGAAAATGAGGCCTGGGCACTGTACAAAAAAATTCCATCCCGGTGGTCCTGGGGTGACCTTTCTAGGGACCGATACATCATTTGCCCAAAGCCACCCTCCCCTACTGGAAACATACTTGATAGAAGGCAACTGTTCTTCCTAGCAAATCACTATGGCCTGTTATAAAGAGATTATGTCCCTCTCGAACTATATTCAGCGCCTGGCGCTGGTCCTCAGAAAGTTTATCAAACATCAATAGGGAAAGGTTATAAGGGCAAAGGAAAGAACAACGAAGGAGGATTTACAAAACTCAAAACGAGCAAAACATATAAGTGAATTTTGGCTCTTACCGAGGCATTTGTACAACAGGACCAAATTCAAAGAGAGGTGTATCACGATGATTCACATATTTAACCGATAGAGCGTTCACTTGTATTGACAAGAAGGCGGCGTGTTACTGCCGCATTAATCGCTAAATATGTTAATCGCGCTAGTTCTTTGTTTACTAGTGCACGTGCCTTTCACATTCGTCTCAGTTATAACAATTCATATTCTGTCGCAATTTTCTGTATAATTTTTGACATTAGTTTGCAAGCTTCACCGTTTATTTACGATAGTTTCGCTCGAGAGTTCACAGCAACAGTATCTCAGTCATCATCTACCTTTTGTTCAACCTTGTTTTTAGCCTGCCTTGTAAGCATTTCGCTTTGTTATTTCATTAGTTTCATTACTGTTATTTGCATTCCTTAGTAAAAGAAATGGGACGCCTTGTAACTCCGCAGACTCTCCTGATTATATTACTTTTTTTTTAGCCATTTAAATTCAGGCGCGTGTGCGGGGTTTGCTCTGGCAAATGGTGATTGGCTAGGAAGAACAATTGCATTCTATCAAGTATTTTTCCAGCAGGGGAGGGTGGCTTTGGGCAAATGATGTATCGGTCCCTAGAAAGGTCACCCCAGGACTCCTGGGATGGAATTTTTTTGTACAGTGCCCAGGCCTCATTTTCTTGGCCGCGTGTTGATCTGGCCCGGCTGCTTCGGCGAGCGTATTCTCGGTGTGTTTGGATTATATTCTTCGAGTTTGTCCAAGTCTGTGGGATTCGTTTCTCTATCTGGGAAAGCTTCATTGGTTTCTATATCTGCTGCTATCCTATTTCTACGATCCTGGCATGTTTATTTTCCGTTGGAGTTCGAATTTCGTGGAAAAAGTTGTGTTGAATGAGAGCATGTCGGCGAAAATGGCACCTCGTGTTTCCTACCTTGTATATTATTATTGTAGATAGAGTGAATTTAAACAAATTACTGCAAATTATCACGAAACTTCGTTGGAGCAATAAGGACAACAACAATTAACTGCAGAGTAAGTTTTATTGATCTTTATTAAGTATTTCCTAGAAATTTTAGGATGATATTTTTACCCCATATAAACACTGTAATTTTACTGGAACCGTACTGTGGTACTATCACAGAGCCTGGGTTACCTGTGCTACACCTATACAGCGGTGATTCCCTCGTCTGTTGCAGGGCTCGACGTTGCGACCCGTGGGGTCGCCAATGCGCCCAGCTTTTACTCAGTGGCGACCAAATTTTCACCCCTGGTCGCCAACCTGGCCCCCAAGATAGGTGACCATCTTCTTTGGGAAAACGTACACTAACGATAATCCGTTATCCTTCACACAACTAAATCCATTAATTCTTAAATATAATTTTTGGCAACCAGAATACTTGTTCTGGCGACAAAAAATGAAAACTTGGGGGCCAGCTGGCCCCAAGATTTTTTTCTGAAAGTCGAGCACTGTGTTGACTCACTTTGGATAGGGGATAGTCGTGGAATGAAAATATAAATGAAATGTATCCTTATGTTTAAAAGCGCAACCATGCAGATGCGATTTTTATAATAGAGGATTGCACAAGTCACAATTTTGATACACATTAGTGGTCATTTCAATGGGGGCATAGACTGTTCACAGTCCTCTATTTTCCTGTAAGATCGTCGCGATTGCGATTGTTTATACGAGTAGCCGCCATCTTGTTTTTTAGGCGAACGCGTCCTCTAAACACTTAGGGGACGGGCGTCAGGAAGGGTGGGGGTGGGGGTGGGGGTGGGAGACGGCCGCTCGTAACATTCGCGACAATCTTACGGGAAAATAGAGGACTGTGAACAGTGTAATGCAAAAACCAATAAATCACAAGCTTTTAAGAGCTTTGTCCTATCCTATCAATGGGCTATTGCATTATCTTTGTTTGTAACTATGTGTTTATTGCATAAAATTATTCTAGGTCGGTGCAGCACTGCCACAACTCCAGGAAATTCAGGTACAATTGCACTGAACATTTTTATAGTAATTATTGCTATTGTAATTGATTGATTTGCTGATTTGAATTCCTGTTAGATGCAGTAGACTTAGATGTATATGATTGATCAAATTATAAAATAATATATTGTACAGTTCCAGAAAAATCCATAACCACCCCATTGAAGGTCTCGGATATTCCTAGGGGGAGGGGGGTTTTAAGCCCCAAAATTTTAGAAGAAAAGTATGATGCTAAAGTGGAATTTCCTGGGGGGTGCAAAACAAAAACCTTCCGTGGGGGGGAGTATGGTTATTTTCTGGAAATGCACATTCTATTGTAATGAAGGAATACTGGAACTTTTATAGTGATCTTTTAGACTTAATATGTTCTTAATAATTATTTTTCCATTAGCTCATTCTTCCCAAGAGCAATCTAATGAACTGCGTGCAACGGGTAAGTTATTTATATTGTGTATAATTAGCCATAATTTTTTCATAATACCGATTGTAATAACCAGCCATGGGTAATGTTAAAAACACACTACCAGTACCGGTAATTTGTTTACACTGAAATACAATTAACACAACTCATGATCCCTTGTTATGCACAAATTATTATCAGTCACACAATCAGTCACACCATATATACAATGCTCTAAATGACCAATGACCAATGAGCAATGGTGAGTGGTAAACCTAACAAAATGCTGAATTATGGTGATGCTTCTTGTCACTTCATGCTACACAACAGTTGCCAAGTGCTACTGTATGAATCATCAGATGCTGTAACCAGGATAAAATTGTCACAAGTCTGAATTTTAGAGGACCAGAGATTTTATGTTATAACTTTGTGAATATTATTACTCTCTTTGTCACTATATCACATTTGCTACCTCCAATTAATCTTTTAGGGAGTAATGAGTATTGTCATCTTTACTCTTAGGCCATTCATCCACATCATGCGCTTCAACTTCTCACGCTTCAACTTGTCACGTGAAATCTTTCAATATGTTCAAAAAACTGAAAGGCCAACAGTGGAAATCCATTGTAAGCAAAAAGGCTGGAAGTGCAAGTGACAAAGAGATAGAAGTGCAGATCAACATTGGGCTCATGGTATGGAGTGACAAGAACGTGTGTATCAAACCAAAGAGAGGCAAGCGTCTTGCTTTGAGAGTGTCCAACAAAGCCACCTACAAAGTCATCCTGCAGAAAGCTGTGGAAAAGTGGAGAGCCTTTAACAGCGACCTCTATGATGAGAACGAAGACTACATTCTTCTACTTGAAAATGGTGAAGAAGCCCAGTTTCTTCCAGGTTCATCTGCCAGTAAAGAGTTTTTTTCCCTCAAACGATACAAAGAAGAAACTGGAAAGGACTACAACAAAATTGTGTTGTACCTATGCAAGCTTAGTGACTTTCACTTTGACCTAAATAGTGAATCAGATAGAGATACTGATGAGCTGGTTGAGGAGCCAGAGAAGAAGCGACTGAAAAGCTTGACAACTGATGAAGAGCCTGATGCATCTGCTGTGTTTGCTAGTGATGAGAAAATTGCAATTGAGTTACAAAGGGAGTTTGACAATGAGTTATCCATTGACATGATTGACGCTGTCGAGAACATGGAGGATGGGAAAGATGACAACATGTCAATGGGTACTATCCATCAAGATATTTCAAGTGTAATTAAGTCCCTGTCTCAAAAGGTTGACCAAGATGGTCAGTTTTTTATTGTTTCTAGAAGAGGGTCCCCATTTCCTAGAGTTTTGTCCTTGTGGCAAAGAGAAGCCAACAGATCGTCTCCTGAAAAAGTGCTAAGAGTGCGCTATAGTGGAGAGAATGGTGTAGACAGCGGTGCATTATCGCAAGAATTTCTGGCACAGTTGATTAATGATATGGGGCTGGCAGTGTTTCCAGATGGAGCCCCCATAAATTCACTGTACAATGTTCATAACAAAAGTTTCAAAACCTGTGGGGAAATCATTGCAGTGTCTTTGGCTCAAGGAGGACCAGCGCCATCTTTCTTGGGTGAGAGTGTGTACCAGTTGATGTTGGACCCTGATGTGAACATTGGCAACCTAGATGTTGACAGGCATTTCACTGCAAAGGACAAAGAGCTATTTGACGCAGTAAGAGCTTGTGACACATTTGAAGGTGCTTTGTGTGATGTAATTGTTGACCATGGATACACTGGCATCATTGATCATGACCACAAAGAGGATGTCATTGGAACAATGCAACTAAGCATTATGACCAAGCGTTTGCTGTACATGAAAGAATTTTGTGAAGGTCTGAAGCTGTATGGTGCATATGATGTCATTAGGGGCAATGCTTCTTTATGCAAGCCTCTTTTTGTGAAAGGTTCAAATCAGGTGGTAGATGCCAATTATGTCTTTTCGCTTAATCCAAGCTACTCGGCACAGGGCTCGTCAAAACGACCACTTGAAGAGGCAGTCATTGACAACCTACAAGATTTTCTGATGTCATTGGAAGATGAACAAATAACTGGCTATTCCGAGCCAGTAGCATGGAAGGACTTCAATGACACGAACACTGAAAGTAGCGAAGTGGAGCGATTTCAGTCCATGGACACCACACCATCTGGTGTATTGGGGTGGCTGACAGGCCAAAAGCACCGCCCCTTAAATGGAGAGCCGCTGAATGTCACTGCCCTCTTCGACCATGATTGCTTCACAAGAAATCCTAATCACACAATCTGCTTTCCCCGTGTGGCAGCCTGCAGCAAAAATCACATTTCCAGTCTCCCACATGAAAACCCCAGAACAGTTTAAACATGTCTTACTACTTGCCATGTGCAAAGGAAATGCATTTGGAAATGCATAGACTTTGGACAGAGTGAAGTGACAGGTTAAGGTATAGAATGGTTTTCACCCGAGTCTCGAAATGAATTTCAGGTTTTCTTTGACAGTACTCTGCAATTGATTAGCAAAACATGTTAGTTTCTCAGCAGTGAACCCAAAACTTGAAAACATTTGTATGTGTTTGCCGAGTTGTGGTTGGTTCATTGTTTCATGGTTTGCATTTGTCGTGATTGGCGACAGTAATTGTATATTTGTTTTGGTTTTACTACGCTGAATTGAAACTGCTTAGTGACATGTTTGTTAAGTTTTTGAGTGACCAGTCGAAACATTGACGAATGTCACTGATGCAGTTCATTGTATTTTTTTTTTTACAATGTTGCTGCATGCAAAAAGGATGCTGTGGGTGGTAGTCAGGTTAGTGCATTTCATTGGCCACACAGCCTTAGTGAAGACCCAGTCAGCCACATGACCGACCCAAAGCAGTTTAAAATGTATTCTAATTTTGCAATTTACAAATGCAAGGACTTTGGACAGAGTAAAGTAAATATGTTTTATTGCATTGACAGCTTTGTATAACTAACTCAGAGAATTTCAAATTTTTCTTGTGTTGGCTGACTGGACTTTTATCACGAGTTTTAAACATTTCCCATTTACCAGCAGAACTGACAAGAGTTTAAAATGTTTATAAAGCAGCTATATTCTTTGTAGTTACCTGCATTGTTACCTGAAGAATTTTAAAGAAAAGGCATGCCTTGCTCACAGTTGGTTTCGACTGACTGAAAAGTGACAAAATGGTCACATGTAACAAAAGTTAGTGATAGAACAAGAAAATTATTGACTGTTCACAAGTATTATTTTTGCATTCTTGGGACAAGTTTTAATTTTCAGTGTATGTACAAATTTTTATAAGTTAGTTCATGTTAATTCATTGTGACTAGTTCCTGTTAATATAACATTGGGGCTTGGGAAGGGCTTTTTACAAGCTGTATGTTTTGGAGTGACTTTACCTAACTCGTGAAAATAATAGTAGTCTAGTACGCACTATTAGACACTAACTGCATTGTTTCCTTTTGCTTACTTTGTAGTATTACACAGTAATTTTCACACAGTGTTTCACGGGTTATGTAAAACCACTCTAGTTTCAGTTTGTTAGTATCAGTAAGTAAGTTGACATTGGTGTGGTAGGCAGTAATGCTTACTACTAAATTAGTTGAATGTTACAGTACTTTATGATAAGTGTTACCCGGTAATGCTGCAAAGCTCTTGAGATTTCTTAACCATTAACGACCAAGTCCAGTTGTTTAGTTTACCAGGGGAGAAAAACATTTCTGGATGTAGAGAAATGTCAGTAGGGCTGCAAAAGATATTATATTCCATAAACTGTAAAGGGCTAAGAATGCTGCATGAAACACTCTTGTAAATCAAACAGAAAGTGCTTTTAGTGTCTAATATATGTTATTGTTACTGTTACTACAAGATAATTGTTTCACATAAAACGTTGACGAAGGAGATGTTACCTACAGTAAATATCCGCATATAAGAACCTAGATTTTTGCAAGTTAGCCTAAACAGGTTCTTATGTAAATGGTGCTTACCAGGACATTAGGCTAAACAGATTCTGAAATAGGTTCTTACACGCCGGTTTTTACTGTATTTAAAGAACTCAGATCTTTCTGTTACCAACAATAAAAAAAACAATGAAAGAACAGTTTGACAACCTTTTGAAGAAAGTCTTATGTTTACATTTACAAAGGGCTTCGTTGTCGTTATGTTATGGAGGCAAAAAATGACCCATGACGAAAACATTTCGTACCTACATGTAATGTTGCCCATATTTGGAATGCTCTAGTCATGTGACAGATAAGAATAAATAGAATCCATGTTGTTGTTGTTTGTAAACGTACTAGTCTGTTTTTACTCGACCTTACACGGTCACAGAACCCAAGACAACTTAACAGAAGTTTGGTTGCCTGGCAGTGAAGGAAAACCAATCTGGTGTCGTAGCTTCCAGTTGGACAATCATACACGTTTGCCCCACATACAAGAACAATTTTAATAATACAGATTTGAAACGAGTGTATCTTCTGAAACCAAACTTGGTATCTGATCTCAAGAGAAAATTACGTATACATCATTTTGTCTTGCCGATCTTCATTACCATTCAAATAAATATGAGTCAGGGCAGGTGTGTCTGACTCTGAAATAGTCAACTGGATGCATACCTGTAAAGATTATGGTACAAGTCTAAGGCTTCCCGCCAGTTTTGGGGGTTGGAAAGACCTGCAGCTTGAAAGGCATACTGAAAATACTCCTGGTATTCATTGGTGCTCTCTGCAAGGGAAGGTAATTATCTGTGATATAGTCACACTGCTGTGCACTGACAGGAGCAAGAAAGTCCTCAGTATTGCGCAGTTCAGGTAGGTAAAACAACTCATTGGGTCTTCCTTTTACAGTGTCATGGCGCGACTCTCTGATGTAGTGGCTGTTCCAGTGTACTTTTACGCTATCCAAATCTTGCTGAATGAGCCCGGAAAAACAGAACCACAAGCACTCCATCTGTAGTTCATTACCAGTAGTGAAGACTTGTTGTTCCAGTAAGTCCTTGAAAAAGTTCATCCACCAAGTAGTTAAGTGTTGTCTTAGGTACGACCACCACCCTTCTATTCGTTGGTTGTGAGGTGAGGTTCCATAAATATGTGCCAGATCATTGCCAATGAAATAGCATTGTGCTGCTGCTACAAGGCCGTTTTCAGTGCCACAGTCAGTTCTAACCTTCATGGGGCATCCTCCGTATTCCTTCACAGCATCCATATAATATCTCCCGATCACTACGGGATTATTGTTTGTTCTGTCCAATCTTAACCATATTATCTTTCGGCTGTAACCGTCAATACAGCCATGGATCGGGAACCCGTCAGATTTCAATTTGTCATAGCCATCAATATGCCAACAGTAGTTCGGCCCTGGATTAGTGTAAACTCTTCTTTTGAGCTTCCGCCTTCGTCTTCGTTCGCACCCCTCAGGGTCCATTTCTTGTAAGCATGTCGCCACTGCTTGCCTCGACACCTGATAACCCTCACGGCGCAAAGTATGCCACATGCTCCTGTACCCCTTTAAGCAACCAGGCCCATCTAACTCCTCCTGTATTCTAGCTCTGATATCCTGGTCATTTGAATCCAATAGGTTCCGTCGTCGAAGCCCAAGTGACTTGAATCTCTCCTTGAGCGTTCGCAGGCTCATTTCTATTCCGTGGTATTTCAGCAAAAAGCACAGAATAACCTCATACTCGTATCCTTCGTTGAAATAATATTTCAGTGCTTGTGTTTCTATATCAAGCTCAGCACCACAGGTGGCACAAAACTTGCTGTAAAGCGTCACTGTTGCTGTGCAAACTTCACATGTTAGCGATGTTGTTGAGTTTGCCGCCCCCATCTTGAAATCGCGGGAAGAAGAAGCCAAGAGGATACCGGGATTGGTCACCTCACTACTCGCACCCAGGCGTCGCTCGTTACTTGTATTCGGTGTGAGTTTATTCGAATTCGGTGTGAGTTTATTCGAATTCGGTGTGAGTTATTTGAATTCGGTGTGACTTATTTGAATTCGGTGTGAGTTATTTGAATTCGGTGTGAGTTATTTGAATTCGGTGTGAGTTATTTGCATTCGGTGTGAGTTATTTGAATTCGGTGTGAGTTATTTGAATTCGGTGTGAGTTATTTGAATTCGGTGTGAGTTATTTGAATTCGGTGTGACTTTCTGGAATTCGGTGTGCACTTGTGGGCCACCGTACGTTCATAGTCAAGGATTATGTTACATGTGAATTCACGTGAAACGACCTTTGAACATCAACGCGTGCCCGCTGCCCGATTTAAAATAAACAACATTTTCCTAAAGCTTTTTGATAGACATGCTACTTATTGCTACTTACAGAGTCGACCTCAAGAGTTTCTTAGCGAGAGGAGCGTTCTTTTTAGGCCGCGAAGCCACCAAGAGAGCTACGATTTCGCAAGTAATAAATTGTAGACATTCTCAGCTTTTTGACTGTAACTCAACAGAAACAAGAAACCAACACAAGCAAGTCGCCCGGCTGGGCCACCTAGACAATATTTTCAGTCGCCCGAGGCCAAGTTTTGCGCCGTATTAAGAGCACGGCATTGAGTCTTCATCCTCCTCTACACAGTGAGGTTACTTTTCCCTCCTTTGCTGACGCAGTATGTTTTATCGGCTTGTGCAATCCAGCCTGACTTGCACGTGCTTCGACCTTGGGGCCAATAAAAATCCACACAATTTCTCGGGACGGGCACGGGATACGGGAAAGTTAAAAAAAACGAGGCAATTTTTGACTCCCAAGACGACGAAAGGAATGCGCTACCGAATTTTAGACGCTGGCTGACTACGTCATCCCGCGTAATTATTCCTCGAGCCCGAATGGGCTCTGAGTTAATAGCCCGTGAAGCCGAAGGCCGAAAGGGCTATTGACTCAGAGGCCATGAGGGTGAGAGGAATGATTGTTTTAGTAAAATCCAACTAGTTGGTCAAAAATATCGAGAATAACAAAAAATTAGCTAGTTAAAGCTGGACTTTAATCGTTTTGCCGCCAAAAAGCCCTCGCTTTTCGCTACTAGTGGGCTATAACATATAGCCTAGTAGTAGCTCAACCAATCAGAACGCAGCATTTATAATCTAGTTGGAATTTACGAAATATCGTGATTCTGGGGGTGGGGCCACACCCCAAGACTTTTAGCCTGTGCAACAAATGAAACGTGAGTGCCGATTGTGCTGCTCAGCTAGGACAGTAGGAGGTGGACTACAGCACCAGGAAAACCTCAACGCCTCAGCGGAATGCAACCGCAGTGAAGTGAACTAGCTACCGAGAGATCTCCCTGTACCGTCAGCTGTGCGTACAACCTTTATTCTAACTTTTAGATTCACTCTATTTTGCTAATGATTTTCCCTTGAAACCTTGGAGGGGC